CTGGTATAACTGTGCCTCAGCCCTTTTTTTGGAAATGAGGTGGAAATATTGGTCAAAAATGCAAAAGGTCTCTTTCCTAACCAACATTACAAATCTGTTGTGGACTTTACCCTTCTTTATTTAGTGAAATAAATTTATTGGATTCTAATTTTCACTTACAGCAAAGCCAATCAGTGAGCCAAAAAGAGGCTCTGAAATTTGTGTGAGCATGCATCCATGTTAAACCTCTTTAAGCTGACAGTGATGTAAAAGCACCTCAGGCTGGGGGACAGCCACCCTGCAAATTGTCAGCCTCCTTCGTTTTCCTTTTCAAATATTAATTTACTATTGCTTGTCAAACGACATGGCAGGAAAGCACCCAAAAAAAAAAAAAACCAACCCCAAAAGAAGAAAGTATTTAACCTCCAGGGGGCATATGGGAGTTGTGGGAAGAACACTTCATGAGGATGCAAAAGAGGTTGCACCACAAGAAACGAAGTGTTCTGTTTGAGAGACGGCAGGGTCCAGCAGGTGACTTAGCACTGCACATTAAATTTAAAACAGTGAACTGAGGACATAGAGGATAGGGGAAACCGGTGCGGAGGAACAAGATTACATCTTCAAGGGGCTTGATTAAGAAAATAAGATTCATACAGGGTCAGAAAAGAAACAAGAATAAAAACCAGTGTTGGAAATAAAAGTGAAGGAGAAGCTCAAAGACCTGCCAACCCAGCTGAGCAGCTGGGTGACATGCTACAGCTAGGAGAGAACCAACAAACCTTATGGCACCCATCCATATGCAATAGCTACTGAGGGCCTTGGAAATTCTGCTTTCTATTTGATTCAGAGAAGGCCCCAATTCAGAATGATTCAGCTTTTGCAACTAAGCCCTGGGAGAATAATGAGTCAGAGCCTTCATCCACCATAAATCCTAGCTCAGTGTATTAATTATTACTGGCATTTTATGTTAACATGTTGCTTAGAAAAAACCATACACCTGCTCAGCCCTCCCTTGTGCAGGCAGCAGCAGAACTTCAGTTGGAAACACCTTAAGCTGCTCTCTGAGGCCACATGGTCCCAGAGCAGAGCCCAAGCATTTGCAGCACAGGGCCGATGCACACAAGGTTGCCCTCTTTTTTAAGTGACCTCAGCAACAGGGCTTTCACTCCTTCTGCCTGAAGACTAATTCACCATCTAAGCATGTTCACTGTGAGAAAGCTTTTTCTCATATGCAACATTTCATTGTTAATAACTCAGTGACATACCTGCCGTTCCTCACTGTACTTCCTTGTCTTCTCACTGGTTGCATGGAACAGTTTTACTTATTCTGCCTCACTTTTGGGTGAAATCATGATCCCGTTGAATATGATATGCTTTGCTGCCTACAGTAACAGCAGAAGTTTAACACTGGAGTCTCCACTTGCTGATGCTGAGCTGTAACCAGCAAATACAGGGCCCTTCCTGTTTAGTTGGGTATATGGGTAAAAGAGTGCTTGGTCCTGTCTTTTGCAGGCAGCAAAAAGTTCTGTAATGACAGACTAGGCAGCATAGCTATTAGTAGATCAGCAAATGCTAGTATAGACAAAACTTCCTTTAATTTTTTGCATATTAATTGGGTGAGCAAAGCACTAAAATCTTGGGTAACATATTAAAGCTACATCTCCCTTTGTCATATAAGAATATATCACATTAATAACCATATTAGAGTCTTCCTTATTTTATATGCACTTTATGTGGCTTAGGAGTATAGGTTGCTTTTTTTAAAGGTGTTGATTTATACAGTAATTCTGTTCTTTCTTCTTCTTGCTACTTTTGTTGCTACTAGCCTGGTTTCCTCAAGAAACAATCTATGAGATATTACTGTCTCTCTGTTAGTCTCTTCACCTCCCAGGCCAATTTTAATTTCACTAATCCTATATTACCAAATGCCTGAGGTCCAGTCCACATCCTCAAAGTTAAATAGGAAATACTGGCTGGATAGTGGGGAGAGCATATTGATGTCAATGCTGAGGGCAAGACAATGAAGAAAGCTCAGGCTTTAGCTGTGCCATTTGGCACTGCCTGACTGGACAACCATGAGCATGAGGCCACTTCTATCGCTCTAAACCAGCCACCCCACATGCTGCTTCTTGCCCAGCTGTCAGTATGGGGGGAGGAGAGAAAAAGAGACAGGCAAATAGACAGACAGACTTGGGGGAATCTAAAAATAATGTAGAAAGAAGGTACAGCAGATGTGTAAGAAAACTGACAGAAGCAAGACCTTGATGTAGTCACTGGGACTTGGAAATAATTGAACGTACTGCAAGGAAACATGGAGATATTATATAAGATTTAGGTAAGGCTATGGATTTAGGTAACATAGGAGATGGCAGGAAACAAGATCCATGAGTTCAGCTTCTCGTCTCTTCTCCATGCCACACTCTGTTGTGGATATATTTGACTTACATTAGGCTTAAGAAGTACACATGGGCTGAAGCATTGTCTACAAAACCTTAATCTGGAGAGATCACTTTCAGGCAAGTTTCATGTGTCTCCAGTGGTATCTTTAAAAGTGAAATCAACACTGTTCTGTTAATTGAAATGTAACAATACATTAGGCTGTTACTTATTACAGACTTTTTTAATGCACTGAACTCCACGTCTCTTCATAAAAACTACCAGTCTGTTAAAGAAAAAAACCTAAATGTTTAGCATTGCCCACAGAGCTAAAGTTCAAAGATGAATCATAAATTCAATGTGGTCTATTGAAAGGCGAACTGTCTACAATTTCACAGAACAACCAACTCCTTTCTCTGGAGGAGATGACAGCTGCAGGGCTCTTGATGATTCCAATGAGGACAAACATGTCTGGGGTCTGTTTCAGCAGTTAAGTGCAGAACCCCCCAAACAGCACCTATTTCACCGCACTGCCTTCAAGGCATCTATGCAACACACATTGCCAGTATGGTATTTTAAGTCACATGATAACATCTCTGTTGGCTAAAACTTCATCCATGTACATGCTCCTAAGGAGAAGCTGACGGCAAACTATTGATTGAATGAAGTGGGTGTCTGCCTTGCAGATTTTCATGACTGTGCAGTACATTTGCTTAGCAATAATAGGTTGGAAAGAATCACTGGAGTCTGCTCTGGGTTCTGCAGACGCAGAAGCCTGTTTCACTTCAATATTTGTGCCAGTGTTGTCTGAGGTTCCTGGACATACCTGTGCAGAAGCCTCAGTTCCCAGATCCAAAAGTAATGGCCAGATGAAGCACTAGTTTAAGTCAGTACTAGGATGATTCTGTATGGCTTCCTCTCCACAACAAGGGAAAACAAATTTCATGCATCACCGCTTCAGAACTTTATTGCAACCAAGTGGAAAACACTTGGACCACAGCACATGAAAAACACATTGGAATGCCACAATTTTTGGATGGAAGACACTGTACCTGTCCTGCTAGGTCAAGGTACTCCTACCAATGAACAGATGTGTGTATGAGGGGCAGGGAAGAAGGAGAATGGACTAATACACAGTGTAACAAGACTGCCGCATACTGAAAATTGGCGAAGTCCCTGGTAAATTTATGTTCTGATTAAATAATTTCAGAATATTTACATCTTACAATTTACAGAAGTTTTTAGCAGCAGCAAAAGTAGCACCATGTAAATTTTACCCATGTTCCAAATGTATTAGCCTGCATGAAACCTGTTTCTTGTTCTCACTGTTCCTAAATTACATGTTGCCACTCTACTTACCACTTGGTAGCGATAATACGTACAACGAACAATTTCATTCACACTTATGTAATGTATTTAAACAGAAACCTAATGCAGAATCAACAAAGATATGCAGGTCTTTAAGACATAACAAACATAATAATGTTACAGCATGGTACAGTTTACTTGTCTTGCTAAACTGCCTACATAAAGATGCACTATAACCAATGACACCTCATTAAATACATTCTTCTCCTTCACCTACTCTTTACACAAGCACTTACCCTAGGAACATTTTTCCTTCTTTGAATACCCAGCACTTCTATAGAACAAATGTTGCAAACACTAGAAGAGAATAGCTTGCAGGACAATCGGCTTCAGATTCATGCTTGCAAGCATTTCGAAACAATGGCAAACTCTACACTTTGTTTTTTTCACAGCCTACAAGTTTTAAAGGCCTGTGACACATTCTATAGTAAAATTTCCATTTTAAATAAAGAATTAAAAATATTAAAATATCATTCTGTTTTTCACTAAGAGGAAGATATCACCTGACCAGCAAATCCAAAATGTGAACTTTACATAACATCCTAGCCAGCCACTAATGTCTGCTAGTGGTGAATAGCATAAGGGTTTTACTGCTCACACCCAGACAATACACAGCTGTGTCTGCGCTAAGACTGCATTTCCACTCTGACTCTGGAGTTAGCCACACTGGCTCTTACTAGAGCTGGACTGGCAAGTGAAAGCACAAGGAATCACAGTGCAAAGATCACTTGGCAGCCTGTACCTGCAGTGCCACACAAATGCTGTTAGATGCTTTCTGCACTTTCACATCTGGAGGCATTGTACCCCACTATGTTAATTTGCCAATGTGGGTTGATATCGGTAATTCAGGGGTCTCCGTATCATGCTTACAAGAATGGCATAGACAGGCTCCAGAATTCAATGATCGATATTTACCCTTCTATTTTTAAAAAATATGTATTTGCTAAAGCAGTGCAGGTCACAACACAGATGTGTTTACACTGGCTTGTATTTGACTTCCAAGCTGCCAATATTGTATACCATGTCACCATCAGCTAGGTTGGGGACTGAAGTCATCAGAAAATTTAGTATATTCTCGAGCTTAGTCATGATTAGAAATTATTCCAACTGTCAAAATACTTAAAATCTTAGGCTTTGTCCAATAACTTGAATAGATAACAGATTCCATTCATATACCTCTATCTTTAATGGTAAATGATGATTTCATTCTTTTCGATAATCCAAATTCACCTGAACCAGGCAAGAGCTCAAGGCATCATAATGCTGTTTAGACTCACCTTCCCAAAGCTGGCGGCATTAACAGGTTGTGTGTCATTTTTCTCACAGAAGTCCAAGTAATGCATGTAGAGAGCACTTCGAGGAATGCAAACACCTTCTGCGATCTCATAGTTCTCCTCCAGCCTTAAAAAGCAAATATCAAACAGAGAACTGCAAGTATGTTGGATGTCCTGTATGGTAAACAATATGCAAAGTTGCATCTTTAAGACCAAACATTCTGGCTCCTGCTTGTCTACTAAATTTTCTGTTTGTTCATAAGTGCTGCTTCCAACTCACTTCCATAACACCTACTTGCTTCATTTGGTTCATACTTGCTATTAAAAACATAGGATGTGAGTTCTTAGGCAAGTAGAGATTAGCACAAAGAGATATTGGGTTTTGACCATGCTCCAAAGTGCTATCTTTAAGAAAAAATATACTAGCAATCCGTTATACCCTAAAAGCATCCTGCAGTAAACAAATATGCGTACAACTATGAAACAACACATTCACTGAGGGGAAGCATTCTCTCATTGTTTACAGGACAGATCACCTTTGGTTCATGACACTCTCTTCACTGCTGTCCAGCTGCAAAATTCCTTACCTTGAGAAAGCAGATGTGGCTAAAGTTATTTGCAAATACACAAGAGTGTGCACAAAATCATCTCTCTATCATGTTTTCTTACTACTGCTTAGGGACAAAGTGAAAAAAAGAGTCTATGATCTGAATACAGTGCTGAATAAAATAGTGAAATAACATCCTCCTCTGTCTTGGAGAAACTTATTATTCATTTACACATGCAAACACACAACTACAAAATTTTAAATTATGCACCAAATATATGAATAGGCATATGCTTCATCTTTAAAATCTGAAACTGGGCTCATTATAAATCTACAGATGGGAAGAAACATTTCTTTGAAATGATGTTTTTATGATTGCTGATCCAACAAAGTTCAAGAGGTATTTATGTACCCACTTAACTTTAAACCATAATTAATCTTGTCAACCATGATGTCACTCATATACACATACAGTTACATGTGTGCTTGTATTGCTGGCTAGGAGAAGGTAGGTGCAACTTCCTCTTAAACATATTAGAAAATTAATACATATTCTCAAAAACCTTCAATTTTCCAGTAAATGACCCCCCGTCATTCGATAGCTGTAGAACGCTTTCCAAGTACCTTGTTTCTCTCCTTCATTGCCTTTTTCAGGACCTGCCTACCTTCCATTTCAGTTATCGTGATCATTTGTGACTGCAAACTATTTTAATAAGATATCCGGCTAGATGAATGGAATCAGTTTGTATGGGCAACATCTATTCTTCCTTGGTTTCTACAGAAATATCACGGCATCTTTCCTCAAATTCATAGCGCTTTAACAAAACCTCCTTTCAAAACCTGGAGAGTTCGTTTGTATACTATAGCTGCTAATTGGAATGTCAGCTTCCGTGACCAAGACAGGACAGAAAGAAAAGCAGTTAATTATTTCTGTTCATATCTGATGAATTTTTCTCTTTTTCTCTTCTCTTTCACAGAGAGTCATTAGTCTGACACTGAACAATGCTCCATTATACCTGAACTTTTTTTTTTAATGATCAAAACCCCATCTTGCTCCACTTCTTTTATTTTCCTGTCTTTTATTTAACAACTTTATCATATTTTGAATTCAGCTTCATTCTACAGTATTGTAGGAAGATAATGAACTCAATCTTCTACCTAACAAATCATTATCAGAAATAATATATATATAACATTTTAAATGTCCTAATAAAGCCATGTGAAATCCAGTAGTTCACAATGAGACCTTTTGTACCACTACAGTATAGCAATAAAACCCCTAATCCTTCCACAGGAATGACAATTTTATCTGTCTCTATTACTGTTTCCCTCTTTATACACTTAAATACTTCTAGATTAAATGAGATTATTCTATGGCAGAGTCAAGTCTGTAGTGTTGTTACAGACTTGTTTTTAGATAGGAAGGCAACAAAACAACTGTGATGTTAACCATTGCTAATCACATAGAGGATTTTAGAACAGATTAATTTTGATGCATTATAACAGTTTCTGAGAAACTACTGATCTGGGGAGAATCCATTACCTAGCAGTGCTTTACCTTCCTCTTTTTTACTTCTTTTTACAAATGTTGCAGAAAATAGAGTATTTCTGTTGACTTCAGCTTCACAATACTTTTATTATTTGGAGCACCTACACTGTAAGCCACCAAACTGCATGGAATTAGGCTGTCCATGCTTTGAATAATTCTGTGTTTGGAGAAGTAGACACACACATGCACACACACCCCCCCCCCAAACGGAGGTAAAATAAAGTTTCACACTTACAATTTGGTCAACCAGTTCACCAATGAAATAACCATGAACACTTTAGAGCCAAGTGTTTAGCAAGCTATAGCTTCACAGATGATAATGAACACAGGAACATGGGATAAGCACAGGATACTAGGTATTGGTATATTCACACCTTAACAGTTAAATTCAAGCTCACGTAGTTTCCTCAGTTGTGGTGTATTTGGCAGTAATGCTACGTTTACCAGGCCTTTCACTTCATTTTGTGTTATCAACGAAACAAAACAAAAACATCATTCCTGTTTCCAGGAAAAGGATATTTAGCCAGGCTGACAGTCATCCAAACATGCTTCTTGGCATCTTGAGCTACTTCTTCCCCCTCCGCATTTATAGTGTTCAATGTACTTCGCCTTTGGATAAGCAGTAAGGATAGATCCCTGTGGGACTGATGTTGTTTGCTCTTTTCAGCAAGATGCCAGACAAGGAATATCTAGTAAAGTTGATGGCAATATGAACCACATGACAAAATTTACATATTTCCCTTGTGTCTTTTCCTACTACTTTCTTTCTCTTCTTTTTCTTTGCTACTGACATTTCCTCTGGTTCTGGTCTCCAACACTCCATTGCCTTCATTAGCTGTAAATAATAGTAGCATCTAACAGTAAAAACATGACCAGCTTTAACTTGGCAGACACCAGACACTGCAGACAATTGTGGTGCAAATGGAATTTGCCAGAACAAGGCAAGTTCAGTACTGTATCCTGAAATCTGGTCAATAATTTACCCCACCACTTCCACCTCTTGAATCTGGCCCAGAGACTCCTGTGAGAGGGTAGGACACATGCTTACCGAAGGCATATTCAGCTAAATTTAGTCTTTTGTATTTCTTCCCTGTGCAAAAACTTGGTCTGAGGCCTGAGCAGGCAAAACTATCAAACATGTAAAGCTAAACCTACAGGAAGTGCTTAGTGCAGCGTTTGTACAATGCTGACCACAATAGCTTACCGACCCATGGGCTGCCAGATGGTACTGTGGTACAAATAACCTGATGCTAATGTGTCTGGCTTTCCACAACAGTGGAAACTCAACATCTTCACACAAAGCAAGCTTACTACTTTAGCAATTTGACCATAACTTTTGAGGTTGTAATTTTATTTAGTGTATCAAACCCAGTAGCACAGTTTCTCCAGGAATTACCAATTCAAAGCTGCAGTACGTAGGCTGAAAATCATATGGAAACCACCAGAAACTGTTCCATGGTATGGCTACTATGCTGGGAAACCTTTACCTACAGGTCTAATAATAAATGACCCAATTGTATAATTCAGTTTGAGACCAGCTAAAGAAATTAAACTTGAAAACTTCTTTGCTTTCTGTTCCCTCATGTATTTTTGAGTGGAAAATTGAATGGAAGAAATCGCAGATGCTCCAAAAGAATCAAAGGGAAGAATGTCTGACCTACCTAAACATGTAAGAAACATAAAACAACAGACAGATAGTAAGCCAGTACACTAACAAGGGGGAAGGGAAGATGATGTAAGCAGCCTTTTCAGAATCAAAATTCTAGGATTCTATTGCAAACATTGCTGAATGAGCATTAGCGTGCATATTGCATTCCAGCAGGGCTCAATATCCCAGGAGTTTAGGGATTTACTAACCTTTATGACCAAGGAAGCTTGAAAGCTTTTGGCAAAAGATTGTTTACAGTATTTGCATGTTTTCTATTGGGAACAGTATCATTGGCATGTTCTAATTAACTCTGACTTCTTGGCTACTACGTTATTTGCGCCTGTGGAAAAGATTCTTAACTGACTCTACTGAAAAATAAACACTGTTTGGGACTGGTAAGCCATGCCTGCTGTTTTATTTTACCTAGATAGTTCTTTGTTATCCTGTTTGAACTGTGTTGAAGATGTGTGGGTGAATAATGGAAAATAATAAAATATCTCTAAGACATTTCACTATTATTTTAATAATTTTCTCTGTGTGTGTAGTCACTCCCTTTATTCACTTTTCTTGAACTTCTAAAAAAAAAAAAACAACACTTTTGTGGTACAAAGAAGCAATAGTTCAGAACTAAATGCCTTTATCTGTATTTGCCCATCTCATTATTTGCACTAGAAGTGTCTGCAAGTTTCTTCAAGGCAGAACACTGAATACTTGGCAGCAACCTACTCTAAATCAACCCACAGGTCTTGGAATTTTTAAATCTAAAATGTAACTGATCAACTTTAAAAAGCAAATATAGATTAAATAATCCAAATCTCTTTACACATATTTCACAGGATCACAGAATTTCACGGGTAGAGAAAAAGAGTAAAATTCACTGAATGAATTGTTCTTAGCTGTTTGTATCTTCCAAGAGACTGACAGAAGTAGAAAAATAATTTTGCTAACATTTTGCTAAAAACCTCACCTTTTTTTCCAATAATCTTATATTTTCATCCAGAAAACTATGAGAAATACTTACAGGTGAAGTAAAGGCCTTTCTTTAAAAGACTTAAAACAAGCTAAGGAGTATGGGTTTTCAGATAAGCATGCTCCGAGGCTTCCCTGTAAGGGAGTTCTATTCTGCCATATACAAGGAACTTCCTGAAAGACGCTTGATCACTTACAATATTAAGAAAGTTAAACCAGAATCAAAAACCTAAATTAAGGGAAAAGTCTACAACAGATAACCTATAGAAAGGGATGTCAGAAGTATAAGTAACATTACAGAACACATAGCCTAAAATACTGCTGTAAATCACAGTGAACAAGACTTGTTCATTTTTCATAGCACAGTAGACCGACTCACAAACTTTCCTCTCTCCATCTTCTCTTTCTCTCTTCCTAATTACCCTTTCTTTATTCCCCTCACCAAGTTTGCAAGGGGATTTTGACCAATGAATCCAACCTCAAACTCTCTCTCTTCTTTTGTTGTTTTCTACGTTAAATTACAGAGATATCATTTCAGTAAAACAGCCAGTAAAGGTGGGCTTCATCATACACTGAAACAAAGGTAAGTCTTGAAAAAAATTCTCAGTACTAGTTTTCTTTTTGTAATAAATATAACAGTGATGACAAACCACAAATCACCAGCTGGCAAGGTGGCAAACAAATATGCCAAGTAGATCTTCTAAACTACATCAGAGGTTTCCTATGTTCAAACAAATCCCATAACAGTAAGACATTTGTTGAGAAATGCTGTACAGGATACTAATGAGCAGATTAAACACTTACAGTGAAAGTATCTTTAGAACTGTATAAGATGTCCAAGACCTCTGTTCTCTTCAACTGGAAAAAGTATAAGAAAAAACACTAACAGGTTTTCTTGATTGTTTTAAAAGGGCATCTTACCATTGCAGCGTAGCTGGAGTTGAGTGTGGTTTCGATGCTCTATTATTTTCTTTTTCCTCATCTGTTAAGAAACAAAAAAATACTATGCAATTTCAGTGGGAATTGCTCAGGCATTTACGAACTGGTAAGAAATTAGCCGATTAAAAAAAAGTAAATGTTCTCAAGTGCCAAAGCTTTATCAAAATATTGACTAAATTGTGGAAACATAAATAATGATGTTCCCTAAGCTAGCATCTGTAGATACTGCTTAAGGAAATAAAACTTGCAAACATCACTGATAGCAGGAGTAGAGCGGTACATAGGAATAATGACATTGGAAAGGATAAATTTATAGGAAAAAAAAAAGCAACTCTCAGACCTCTAGCAGCATGTCAGAACATAAAAAACACTTTCACCTGCTTTAAGGGAACAAGTTGCCTTAACCAAGTTTTATATTAGATGAGGCGTCTAACCTAATGGGGTTCATCCACTGTTATGATCCTAACATATGATATGTAATGTTTATAAATTTACAAAGATCAATTCTGAACAAGGAAAACTGAAACATTCTATAATATACTTTATTCCTTTTCAGATAATTTTTCTGATAGTATTCCTCATTAACTGTTTCCAAGGTAACTCTCTGATTTGCTGACTTTCCAAAAATTTGAATAAAAGATGAATAAAGAAAAAGATAATTAAAATAAAACTCTTAAAATATTGGATTCTTCCTAGTTCATGTTAGTTCTTTTGAAACAATTTAAAAGTATGTATAGAATAATTCCTATTAAATTGTGATTTGCAAAGCATATAAAACATTTCTAGGTGAAAGCTGAAGTGAAGCACAATCAGCCTCTCTAGAAGGGTATTCTTTGGGAAACATTGTTGTATCAAACACAGTTTGGTATTTTAACAACTTTGTCCCTGATGAAAGCATGAAGTGTAGGAGGCTTTGATACCTAAACAATGAGGTAAACCACTGCGCCTGTACACCATGCTGCAAGTTTCATTTCTTCATACAATTAACTTTTAGAAGTCATTTAAGTGAGCCTTTAGGATGATGAATCTTAAGGGAGCCAGGCTATCTCCTCTGATCATCAGACCCCACTGGGAGGCCTTTTGTGCAGTCCTAAGAACCGACGGACACCAATAAAACCCCACTTTGGAAAACGCCGTCTTCAGCCCTGGCGCCGCAATATTTCTTCCAATACATATAAGGCAAGTTGTGTTAACTGAACACCCTTTAGCCTGCAAGGCTGGTCCCCTGAATGTCAGGAAAAATCTAGATTTACAGTCACCCGCAGACACTGCGCACAGCCCCTCTTCTGCATCTACATGACAATAGGGCTCTAATTATTGGACCGCACACTCCTTCCCTGCCTTTCAGGGGCCCGCTTTTATTCAGTGCATAGGACCAACATACACATTTCAAATCACTTTTAAATTGTGTTTTTCATTTGTTTTTCCTAAACAAACGGTTGGCATGCAACAAACCTTCGGCACGCAGGGCTTCACAGCCCCTCTTCTGCATCTACATGACAATAGGGCTCTAATTATTGGACCGCACACTCCTTCCCTGCCTTTCAGGGGCCCGCTTTTATTCAGTGCATAGGACCAACATACACATTTCAAATCACTTTTAAATTGTGTTTTTCATTTGTTTTTCCTAAACAAACGGTTGGCATGCAACAAACCTTCGGCACGCAGGGCTTCAATGCCGAGCAGCCGTGGCTGGCGGCAGCCCCCGGTGCTCGGCCGCTGATGCTCGACAGCAGCCCCCGGCCTCGCAACAGGGGGACAAATGCCTTCTCCGTAGCAGCAGGCAGAGACATGGAACACGGATTTAAACCACTGGGTAGATAAAATAGTCAGGGCCACCCCTCTCACAACACTGACCAGTTTTCTCTTCTTACCCTTAACTGACAGCACAGACACCCTAAGAAGAGCTCACCTGGCTCCAGCCTCTCCTGAGGAGAGCCTTGGGGAGGAGGGGGTGGCCATGTCTGCCCTGCTTTGTGGTGGGAAGAGCCTTCTGGGCTCAGAGGTGCAAGAGCACTTGCTGGGAGGACAAGTGAGCCATGGCATGGAAGGCTCCATCGTCACCATAGAGGGGCAAGAGGCAGGTGGCCTGACCAGAGCCCGGTCCAGTCTTGCATCCTTGCTGCATGTTCCCAGTCAGGGAAAAAAATAGACAGCAGGGCTGGGAGGGACATGCAGGAGTTAGGGCAGCTCCCCAGGCTTGGAGCACAGAGGCTGCCGCAGCTTCCTTCACC